AACCAGAGAAATGCTCTGGCCACCTGCCAAAGCATCTCTTTGGAAGATAGAGAAGCATTTCTTGCCCTGCTTTTTTCCGTGGGGTTTTTTTGATACCTGAATTTCCAGGTATCAAATTTAGAGACCGTGCTGCAAGTATTCAGTGCAGGGAACATTTTTGGTTGCCATGTGCTTTTTCTTCCCACATGCCTCAACGGCTTTGAGACACTACAAAAGGCACGTGTGTGCTTGTCTGGATGCTCCCACAAACACTTTTTAATGCCCCTGAACATCTGCCACCCCACCTATTATATATCACATGCTAAAACCATTGTGAGAATCTTTTATAACCTGTGTATGAATGCAGTTACCAAGTGTGGGGTCTTTATATTCCATCTGTCTCATTCCTTACCATGGCATTTTGTATTTTATACTTTATACTTTTAAACCCCTAAGGAATGTACTCCCTGTAGAATGAAGTTACATCCTAGACCATTGTTAAAACTGCATTTAAACTGCATTGTTAAAATCTGCTATATTGGGCGGTCCCTTAAGTGAATCCAAGTATGTATGGTAATCAGTATGTAATGAAATGACAATAGCCTAGCAAAAGGAACTTACCATTACAAAACTCTACTCTACAAGCCATTTTAGGATAATCAAGCCAAGGAACTGATTTCTGGGACTGAGCACCCACCCTATTCCTGCAACCCTTAACAATACCATTGTTAATTAATCAAAATCACAAACTGACTCCCAAAACTACACCACTGGACAAAACCCCCAGTGACTGTGACTAACAGCTGTCAGGTACTACTCAAGACACATGTGGGACAGCAACCTCCAGACTGGGCAGCCAAGATGATGCTGTGGGATCACAGAAGTCTGCCAGAAAGGGATAAAAGGCAGTGAAGCGTGACCCTCAGGGGTGTCCTCTCATCCAGCACCTGACCTACCGAGAAAGAAGGACAAGCAGGCGACCCCCTTCTGGAAAAGACATTGCCTTGAAGGAAGCTGACCATCGACAGCAGGCTCCCGGGCCTCAGATAGGTAGATATACTGACACCAGTGCTCTCACAATCACTACAGCATACACTATACTATATGGGTTTGAATGAGTGAGTGTATGTGTGTGCTAATGTGACCAGGACCACTCATAACTCAAAGTTTGCATTTATGATTTTATTGGTAACTTCACATCCCATCCAATAAACTAGAATTTATGATGATCCCGAGAGTTGGTCCTTTGTAGCCAACATTATCTGGTGGAGAACGTGGCAAAATTCTAAGATTATTGATGGTTGCGACAGTTGATAATTGTGCGGGGGCTGTGCCACCTCATAGAACCCACGTCTGCAGAGGAGTGGAGTTGTTTGGAATTCGGAGGCTAAGGCCTTAAGAACTGACAGGCTCAGCGTCAGGAACAGATAAAACCCACGTCCGTGAAGAAGTGGGATACACACCTGGTGTGCAGGACAGGGGAGGGCAGGCTTCAGAGACAGACAGAACCCACGTCCGACTTGCAGGACAGGGGAGGGCCATGTCCATGAGGGAGTGGGAATTGGTTAGGGAATTCCTGTGAGGCATTGGGAGCGTGAGGGCTCAAGGAAACCAACAGACTCAAGAACTGGTTTTAGATGGAGCTCCCATCCACAAAGGAGTGAGATTTGGTCACAATACTCCAGCAGGGCAGGAACAGTCGGTCGGGAGCGTGAGGGCTCAAGGAAACCAACAGGCTTGAAGTATGTTGAGGGAGATGTCTTCTTTCTAAACAAAGACCCCCAAGGGTGGGGTGGGAGGCCAAGTGGGTAAGGAGGGAGGAAATTTCCCCTCTCCATAAGGAGATCCTAAGGGGTGGACCCAGTCCGTGGAGGGAGGATGTATGCACCCGAGGCTTCTCCACAGGAGACACTGAAGCCCAATTTGAGACATTCTGCCTTTGTGAAAAACCCTCGACTCAAAAACAACACAGTGCCCTGGTCTGGCTACTGTGGCATGTTATAAGAACAGCAATCGAGGGAAAAGCTCAGCAAGACTCAGAAGTTGAGGAGAAAGAAGAGCAAATCCAAATTCTAAAAGATAAATGTACCCAACTGAAAACCAGCAATCAGGCTCTAAAAGGACTGTCTCAAAATTTGGAAAATGAAAAAATGAGAAAGGTAAATCAAGATAATGCCCAATAATTGGAATCCTTGGGCCAGGAAAAGGCTAGCTGAGAAGCCTTACAAAAATTAGGGAAGACCATGGCTAAAGATCAAGGCAAGAAGGGAGCTAAAGTAAGCCACGGCCCCTGCATAAATATCATCAATTGTTTAAAGAAAGAACTCCAGGAACACAGTCTGCAGGTAGCAGCTGTCATTTGGGGAGACCAAGCCCGGGACCCAGACATCCCCTTCAATCTGGGAGAGATTTGGGGTGGGGAAGTGTGGAGAGACCCAGAGGACACAGTGGATCCCTCCCCTAAGGACCCTAAGTCTGAGAAGGAGAGCGATCTGGTGCCTGAGTTGAGTAAGATCACTCGAACCTCAGTCACCTGGGACGCACAGGGAAGCCACATACGTAATGGTTCCCCCCTTAGTGGAGTTGATCTAGTTGCCCAGGGCAAGACCTTGGGACCTGCTAACATTAGGAATTTGAGGCAATGGTTACAAAAATCCCTGACTAGTGGAATGTGAAACACTGAGTACCCAGGAGTGGCATCACTTATTGAGAGCCTGTGCCAGTCCGGAGATTCAGGCAGCCATGAGTCATGAAGACAGCCTTGGGGGAGGCACTATTCCCCAGAGCATAGTGGATTTGGTAATCAACCTAGGAAGAAAGACATTTAAAGGGCAGTTTGAGGTGAGTCACCAAACACCTGGGGAACCAGATAGGGACTATGTGACTCAGTGCATCATGTTGCAAGCAGCTTTGTGGTTAGGGAGGGGAAGAATTCCCCTCAGCTCCCTGGGGCTGCTTAGGGATGGGGATCCCTGGGTTGGGGTGGGGGGAAGCCCCCCAAGATGGGGGTTCCCAGGTGCCCCCATGCTGGGCTGCATAGGCGGGCACCCAACCAGGATTGCTTCTTCCTCCCTCCTGTTCAGGGGCAGGGGCAGAGCTCCCCAGGGCTGCCTGGGCTGGGGAACCGAGGCTGGGGGAAACCCCCTAAGGAGGAGGCTCCCCCAAAGTGGGCCAGCACCCCAACAGGAGGCTCCTTAAATCCCTGCATGGGGCAGCAGGGGGTTGGGGACATTTGGCTGGGCTGGTAATGGTCTGGGAGATGTACTCAAGCACCCCTTGCCTATTGGTCTGAGTCAGTGCAGGCCTCCCCCTGCCTTTCCTAATTGAAAACTGAATGTTAGTTCAGTTGGTTATCGGTTCAACCTATGCCGCTGCCCAGATTGAACTAATTCTGCCTCGGGATTTTTGACCATCTGTACTTAGCCCAAGAGATGTGGGGCGAGGTGGACACACTTCAAGGGAGAGGGAGGCTGCAACTAGATTTAGACAGGCTACAAAAGTGGGCAGACGAGAATACGATGGGGTTCAACGTAGACAAATGCAGGGTGCTGCACCTTGGGAGAAGGAATCCACAGCATACATACAGGCTGGGGAGTTGCCTTCTTGAAAGTACAGAGGCAGAAAGGGATCTCAGAGTCATTATTGACTCCAAGATGGACATGAGCCACCAATGCCAGACCACAGCCAGCAAGGCCAGCCATACCTTGTCATGCATCCAAAGGTGCATCTCAAGCCGGTCCAGAGAGGTGATACTCCCCCTCTACGCGACTTTGGTCAGGCCGCAGTTGGAGGACTGCGTCCAGTACTGGGCGTCGCACTTCAAAAGGGATGTGGCCAGCCTGGAGAGGGTTCAGAGGAGGACCACCCGCTTGGTGAGAGGGCAGCAGGACAGGTTCTACAAGGAGAGACTGAAGGACGAGGAGGCTGAGGGGGGACCTGGTGGCTGCCTACATGCTCACCAGGGGGAAAATCAACAGCAAATAGGCAGAGCTCTTTTCTCCCCAGCACCACCTGGGGTGACAAGGAACAATGGTCATAAGCTGATGGAGAATAGGTTTAGGTTAGAGATCAGAAGGCAATATTGTACAGTTAGGGTGGCCAAAATCTGGAACCAACTTCCCAGGGAGGTGGTCCTCACCCCTACCTTGGGCAAATTCAAGAGGAGGTTGGACGATCACCTGTCTGGGGTCTTGTGAACCCAGCATTCATTCCTGCCTGTGGCAGGGGGTCAGGCTAGATGATCTGTTCAGGTCCCTCCTGACTCTAGCTACTATGAAACTATGAAAGATGGAGAATACTTCACTTCCAGCATTGGTCTGCTCCAATGGTTCATCAACTTCACCAACAAAAACATATGGTTATTTCCAAACTGAATTTTTCTGGCATCAGCTTCCAGCCATTAGTCCTTTTTATAGCTTTCACCACTAAATAAAGAGCCATTTGGTATCCAGCATTTTCTTCCCTGGGAAGGTATTTTTACATTATTCAAAATCAAGTCACCTCTCAATCTTGATTTTGACAACAGCTACAGAGACTGAGCTCTTTAGTTTTTCATTAAGGCATTTTTCAAAGGCTACAAATTATTTTTGCCTCTCTTCTGAACATTCTTTGATTTTTTTAAAATATAAACATCAGAACTATGCACAGTATTTCAGTATCAGTCATACCAATTCTGTGAATGTCACTGACTTTTCCCTGATACATCCCAAAATTGCATATTAGCCCTTTTGGGAATACTACGGCACTAGAAGTTTATGTCCAGATTGCTTGTCCACTCTGACCCCTACACCCTTTTCAAACTCACTGCCTCCCAGGGGACAGTCCTCCATTCAGCAGTTATGCCTTATGTTTCTTCTTCCTAAATTTATCATTTTGCAACTGGTGATTTTAAAATGTATTTTGTTTTAATTGGCCCAAGGAGAGAGACAACTTCTATAATGCAGATCTCCTTAAGCAAGCTAGTTGCATGCTCCTCTTAATGTGAATCACGGTCATAACAATAGAGAGGAAAAATAGTGTACCTGCAATGTACAGTTTTCTTTTCGTTTAAGGAACTCCACAAACCTTGCCACCACTCCTGGCGTGCTGATAACTTCATCTATTGGTGGATTAGGCTCTGTTTAAATAAAATGCAAAATAATCCATAAGAATTGTCTAGCAAGGAAAGTCTCACACACCCCCCCCACCCATTGTTTTTTTATAAAGATCAGGAATTTAAATTTGCCTTTGAAAACAGATTCCACTTCAAAAAGAAAACACATGAAGGAAAGAAGTTGATTCATAAAAATCAGAAGGCTCCTTTACAGATAAGGTTACTTCTCATTAACAGCACTTTTGTGATACTACTTCTGCAGCATCACATGCTAGTATTTTGTGTTTTGGGCACAGCTGGATTACAACTTTGTGGGAAGAAGCATGTTTAGGTAACTAAGGTATTTGTTAGAGAGCCCAAAGGTTTGTTAGGGAGGATGTAGGAGCCCAGTATACCACCACTACATGAAACAGATTCATAGATACTAAAGTGACCTATGACCATTAAGTTTGACATCCTGCAAAGCACAGGGCATAGAACCACACCTAGTAATTTCTGTATACACATACAACTTCTGCTTGCACTATATATTTCTTACAAAAAGATCCCGTCTCAATCTAATGATGTGATGAATCAACCAATACCCCTTAGATCAGCACCTGGCAACCCTTTCAAGCCACCACCTGGTACAACTTGGCTCCAGTTCAACACGGGCTGGGTGGCTTACATGGTGCGTCAGTAGTAGGCGGGTTCCATTGCACTGGCTCTAGGGTCAGCCAGCTGGGAGCTGCACCTGTGCTGCAACTGCTTCTTCCAGCTCTTCACTCCCCAGCTGGGGCATGAGCACAGCTTCCAGCTGGTGAGGAGTTACACTGGGGTGAGGCATCTGGAAGCTGCATTCATACTACTGATGCTTCTGTGCCACAGCTTGGAGGTGGAAGCAAGGGGGCCCTAGGGAGAATCTGGGTCATGGAAGGAAAGAGAGAAGCAGCAGCAGTGTGGACATAGCTTCCAGCTGCCTGGCCCTGCTGTAGTTCCCTACTGACTTCCAGCTGTACCCACACTGAAGCTTGGGGGAGTGGTGGGGGGGGTGAGAGGAGCATCAGCAACAGCTAGAGCAGCTGCAGCAGCCTAGGCCAAGCTCCTTGCTGCTTAGCCTCAGTGCAGATTTGGGCATAGGCAAAGCCCTGGGGCTCTGAGAGCCAGATTCAGTGGCTTCACAGGCCAGACTATGCTGAACAGCAAGGGGAAGCTGGTGGCAATCAAGCTGGGGAGACATCCCCCAAGCTCTGGCTCCCAGCCACTGGCTTTTAAATTCCCATCCCACTTGGGGAAGGGGGGTGGAGGGGGGGGAGCAAAAGGAAGCCAGCAGAAGATAGCAAAGTCCCCTGCCTCTTCCCTGAAACTGGGGACTACCCAGTTGGGGAAAGAGGCAGGGAATGGTGGTTAATATCCCCCTCAACTCCCAGTCTATGGAGGAGGGGCAGGGAAACAGCTACTCCCCATGCCTTCCCAAGACCAGGGTGACCCAGGTCTTGGGAAGGTAGCGAGTCTTTCCTCTGGCTCCACTCCTACTTGTCCACAAGAGGAGTTAAGCCAGGGAAAAGTCTAAAGACATTCAGTCTCAAGAGAAACTCTCCTGGTAGTGATTTAACCCTGGTTGTTCCAAAGTTATTTTTCTCCCAGGGGGGCCATTTTTGCTTTGGGAAAAAAAATCTGAACATCTATACACTTTTGGTTTCTACCAAGAGAACAATGATTCTCCTGACAGAAACTAAATATCTATACTTAGCCAAACAAGGCCAGCAGAGTGCTTCATATGTTTGCACCCTCCAGCAGTGTGATAGGGAGCTGGTTGATCCTCCTCTATCCCACCATGCTCTGTTTCTCCTCATCTTGCCTGTCACCCAACTCTGAGGACTCAGCCTCCATTTTAAATTGACAGTGTCGTGGACCCTTTCAGATAGGGTGACCATATGTTCTGGTTTTGCCAAGACACTCATGGATTCCATATTCTGTTCCTGGCCAGATGCTTAAAAGTCCCAGGCCAGAGTCTGGTGTGGAGACAGAGTAGCACAGTGCACCAGCCAGGTTGCCAAACAGGCACTGCTATTCCTGTGTGGGAGCAAGGACATGCCACATGCAGGTTGGGTGGCACCTGTTCAATCTGCCCGCCTTCCTCCCACACAGAACCAGTGGTGCCTGCCCAGACATCTGCCTGGCACATTATGCTGCTCTGCAAAACTTTTGACCAACCATCTGGGATCAGGCTATGGAATCCATGAGTGTCCCAGCCAAAGCAAGACATGTGGTCACCCTCATTTTAGAGCAAGTTGCCTCCTATCTGTACCACCTTCTTGGCTACTGTATCATGGCAGGGGCCAAAAATTTAATTTACTAGTAATGTTTTCCTGGATAACATCTCCCATCTTGTGTGACCTATCTTTCTTGTTCCTAGTTGTATGATATTTCTCTGGCTGTTTTAAACTCATGGTGTTAAAATGAGCCCACCTTAACAAGCAACTTGATTCTGTCTCTACATCTAACCTGATCCCATTATTATTTGTCCTTCCACCAACCTGAGTCATTTTCAATTTTTAAATCAACAAGTCTTTTATATTTTCTTTCACATTACTAACAAAGCTACTGAATAGTACTGGACAAAGAACAGATCCCAGGAGTGCCCTACTAGACCCCCTCCATGAGAAGTATTCCCCTTTTAAAATTAGCAGCTGATCTACTGACCACAATCTGTTTAATATGGGCCACACTAATTTTATATAATGCTTTTTAATTTAAGTCAAAATATTGTGTAGGACAAAGACAAATGCTTTATGGAAAGCAAAGCACGTTAGATCAGTTACCACTACTAACCAGATTGATAGACTGAAGAAAAAAAAATCCAAGTTTGTTTCACAAGACCCATTTCCAGATACAAGCCAATACACGTTTATAATTATATTACCAACCTTTACATCTTTACTGATTGCTTCCCATATTATTCTAAGATTTTGCCCAGTTTGATATTAAGTCAATATATCACCCAAAGTCACCTTTTTACCCTTTTTCAATTTTGGTACGACATTCTATTTCTTTAGTCCTTTGGAACTTCACCAGTGTGCTAAGATTTGTTAAAAATCAATATTAATGTTCCTCAGCCAATCCTTTTAATATTTTTTGGTTGCAAGTTATCCAGTCCTATCTATTTATTAATGTTTAATTTTAATAACTGTTATTCATTAATCACCTAATTACTGATACCATATGAAGTACTTCCTTATTGTGAGGATATCCCTTAGCTTCTTTTTAAATATAGAACATTGTCTGTTGAAAGTATCTGTCTTTTCTGCATTGTTCACAGTTTACAACTATTCAAAGCTCCAGGTAAAAGCCAAAAGAGATGAGGAAAGTAACTGGACTGTGTGAACCTCCAATGGTAATAACAAGGTTCAAGTAAACGTCTCTGTCCTTTGAGTGATAGCTTTGCAGATTCCTTCTCTGGGAGATTAACTAGAAGGAGAGAACTCAGGAGGAAATATTTGCATTAAAATTCTGGTTCTATGTTGGGGCATTCAGATAGCTTTTTACAATCATTGCTTTCAGAAGATTCCAAAGCCAGTGTAGTATAAATAGCAAAATCACACACAAGCATTCAGAGACAGCTGTCTAAAAAATTGGTCTCTTCAATAAAAAAGCAGCACACAGGAAAATTCTTATCACAAAGGAGTTTATCCTTCAATGCTAGAATTTATACTGAGGTTTGGGGAGTATGATGTTAAAACATCTTTCATGTCAGACAGTTTACAACCACTTTACTAAGCTGGAACATAAAACATTCTCCCCTTCTAACATTATTATTCTAAGTAGCTTCAGCACTCACCTTTGGAGAGTAGTTTTCTGAATTTCTGGGTGGCTGAAAGTTGCTGCTCTGGACTATTGGAGAAAATCATCTCAATCATATCAGAGGTGATGACAGCACTCTGGGATTACAAAGGCAAAAATAAACAAATACATCTTGAATTTGAATTCAGAGAGAAAAAAAATTCTAACACCATTTGTCAGATTCTAGTACTGAGTTTAACAGAGAGGGAGGATACTAAAATGCGAAACTTCTCTTTGGAAACCAGCGTTCAAACTCTGTTTATGCTGTACAAGCCCAATTTAATAGATAGTTTTCTGAAGCTCTAGAGGGTATAACTGGCAGTCTTAATTGGAAAAGAAAGTCTTAAGACTGGAATAGTAGAACTATTAATAGGTGGGAGACTGAGGATGTCAGAAACAGCTTACGTTGGTTAGGCTACTGTCTAGCCTTCCCAGTATTGTGGAGCTCAAGCCCCTTTATTACATATAGAATAATTTTTAAATGTAAAAAACACTAACAATTTTAGTGTTGGTGAAAGATGAAAGACCAAAAGCCCTGGCAGCAGTATAAACTACTTGCACTACTTCGACTAGCACCATTCTACTCTGATCTGGACACCTTCTTTACATCATGAAAAATGGAAGCATAGTTCCCCACACATGCAAGTCTCCATGTAGAAGCAGTAGAATAAAAATAACTTGATTTTTTTTTTTTTTTACCATCAACTCATCTAATCCAACTTTAAGACAGATCATTAGCAATGGTAAAAAACTATCCAAGCTTTGTCTGTCTTGGTGAAAAATTACAGGTTTAGATTTCATCAGCGTAAACAAGGCAGAAAGGGAAAAGAAGCTAAATCTTTGGTCCTTTTGGTCTACCGTGGACACCAATTTGAGATATCTGCAATGGCAAATTAATAATAGACTCAATGGAACAAGTAGTAATGAGGCGGCCCTCCTTTACACTTTATACACAACTCATTACACATAAGCTTCCGAACAAAAGATTTACATTGTCTGTTGTAACTGACCTGGAGTAAATTTGAAGAAAAGCTACAGGTAGAAAACTTTATATCCCTTTATAGATCCACTGAGCAATCCAGTTTCAACATTAATGAGATTATGTCTGAGTGAAACATCCTACATTCAACTCAGTGGCATCTTGCTGTGTCTCTCTGTAAGGCAGTAACCTGAAGACTACATTTGCTCAGTTCCAAAATATCAAGGAATTGGTGAGAGATCCATAAGGAAAACTTGAGACAGCCCTATTTCTATTAAAATCATCATTTCATCATTCTGGGTAGAGGCATGAGATAGTGATTTTAGGGTGAAGTCAGAGTTCATAGGGCCATTGTTTCACTCTGGTTGAGCCCCTCTCATCCTTCCCACCCTGACCAGGTTCCTAATTTTTGATGAAAAAATTGGAAAAAAATTAAATAGGTCTGATTTCCAGGGATCAGGTCAGAGTGGAGTGCATGGGCACTAATGGGTGTATAACAAGGTCTACAAACACAACAGTTTGCAACACTACTTTAAAATGATGCCAGTTAAAACTTGCCCAAGGCACAATTTCACAATAGCTCCCTTTTCTCCTATAAAAATGCAGCCACCTGTTGCAGCACCAGTATCTGCAAGCTTTAAACAACAAAGACTTCAATGCCTCAACCTAAAAACTTCACAACCTTAACAAAACATTGTTTTTTAAGAAAGTACTGGTGTTTCTTTGCATTGCTCAATATCAAAAACCAAAAAACTTTGAAGGTTGTTTGAAAAACTACGATTTTTTTTTAAACATATACCAAACAATCCATCTTTTCACTATGTTCCTTTCTGAGGCAATCTGTTCAAATCTGATCCAAATGGATGCATTGTGTCTGTCAATTTTAATATATAAGCTATTTAGACAGGGACCTATCCATGAATTTTCAAGGTGTCACTTATATGATATTCAATAAATATACAAGCACAGATAATAAAATCTTTGTGTTCCCTCCACTCCATTACTTACAGAAGTCATCTCCATGTTATTCATTTGGGCCTCATGGAATCCACCATCTGACATGACTTCCTCCTCTGTTTCTTCCTCAGCTGTTGCAACATTTCGGCGCTTAAATAGCTAAAGAGTAAAGGATATAAGTTACTATAAGCAGTGCAGAATTACAGCTAGTAAAACTTCAAAACAGCAGGTTAATTTGCAATACCAGTAACACCTAAAATCAGAATTCAGCATATTTACTAACATTTTCAAAGTTTATTGGATCCACAATCAAGTCAAAGTCAATGGGTAGGTTAAATGCAATTTAAACCCCATGTTTAGTAGAGTGTACCCCTCTCCGTCCCCGCCCCCACCCCCCAAAAAACCCAGCTTAACTTTCATTTCATAGACATCAGGGCTGGAAGGGACCTCGGAAGATCATCGAGTCCAGCCCCCCATCCGTAGGGCAGGAAGTCAGCTGGGGTCATAGGATCCCAGCAAGATAAGCATCCAGTTTCATCTTGAAGGTGTTCAATGAAGGCGCTTGAACCACCTCCAGTGGCAGGCTGTTCCAGACCTTGGGGCTTGGACAGTAAAGAAATTCTTCCTTATGTCCAGCCTGAAACAGTCTTGTAGTAGTTTATGACCATTCGACCTAGTCGTCATCCCTTGGGGCGCTCTGGTGAACAAACGTTCCCCCAGATGCTGGTGGTCACCCCTGATAAACTTGTAGGTGGCCATCAGATCACCCCTGAGCCTGCGCTTTTCCAGGCTAAAGAGCCCCAGGGCTCTCAGCCTGTCATCGTAGGGTCTGCTTCCCTGACCTCTGATCAGGCACGTGGCTCTTCTCTGGACTCTCTCAAGCTTCTCCACATCCTTTTTGAATTGTGGAGCCCAAAACTGGAAGCA